GCCGAGGGCTGGGCCGGGCGCCTGGGCTGTGCCCGGTGCGGGTGTTGGTCGCGCGGAGGGGACGGGCGGCAGAGCGTCGGGCTGAGCGCGCGCCGCAGGGCCGAGCGCCAGGACGCTTGTTAAGTGCATGTTCCGCCTCGGGGCGATGCTGCTGCGCTGCCTTCACGCCGAACTGCGTCCTCGGCCGTCTCTTTACTTCTGGTGTTGAGGCTAGGTCTGTCTAAACTGGCCAGGCTGGGGTTGAATTTGCGATCGTCCTGCCTCAGCCTCCCAGACTGCTGAGATTACAGGCATGTGCCACCACATCTAGCACTTTTTCTTTTCTTCTTTTCCTTTCCTCCCCCATTTTTTGAGACAAGGTCTCACTATATAGTCCAGACTGAGTTTGAACTCACTGTGTAGCCTAGGCTCACCTGGAGCATATGGCGATCCTCCTGCCTCAGCCTTCTAAGTGCTGGGGTTACTAGCATGTGCCACCATGCCCAGCATTGGGTACAAGTTCCAGGTGATACTGGTGGTTCGAGGAGCAAACTCTGAATAGCAAGGTGTAAGAGATGTATGCAGTGCTGCAGCGGGGTAGGAGATCGGGGAGCGGTGTGATCAGGCCGAGCAGGCCCACAGTCTCAGGAGTTGGTCAAGTCGACGATGGGGAAGGAGTAAAAGTACAAAAGGTGAGCTCCTGGTGGACAGAGCTGCCTTTCCTGGCTTGTCTGCCACCTACGTACTAGTGGACACGTCCAGAAAGGGGGCCGGCCCTGCCGCCTGCGCGGTGCCCGATGAGAGATGAAGCAGTGTGAGTGCCTGGGCCGGAATGGAGCTCAGTGGTAGAGCACTTGCCTAACACCCTCTTGGCTCTGGGTTCAAAAAACCCAGAAAGTGCCGTGAGGTAGGGGTGTCGCTTGTCTGTTCATCAGTCCGTCCTTTGGGTCTGGTATCACGGGACAGGCGCCGTCATATTGAAGAACAGCCCTGGGTGTGCGTCTGTAAGCCCAGCTACTCAGGAGGCTGAGGGAGAAGAACCACTAATTTGAGACCAGCATGGTCCACTTAGTAAGATTGTGTCTCAGAATGAAATAAAAAGGCCTGAGGATTCTTTTTATTTTATTTTTTTATTTTTTAATTTTTTTTGGTTTTTCTCCGGTACCGAGAACCGAACTCACGACCTTGCGCTTGCCAGGCAGGCGCTTTGCCGCTGAGCTAAATCCCCAGCCCAGGCCTGAGGATTCATTGCAGCGGTGGAGCACTGCCTAGCTTTTTCAAGGCCCTGGGTCCAGTCCCATTGTTGCTGAGAAATTTTTGCAAGATAATCCTTGTAGCACATCATTCTTCAGGTAGGAATGACTTAACCCTTGGGAAGGAGGCAGCTATGAGAAAGGCTGAACAGCCTATAACTCAGTCTAAGAATGTGGGCTCTGTGAAGGCAGGGATTCTTCTTTTTCTTCTTTCTCGGTACTGGATATTGACCCGGGGTCCTCCACCGCTGAGCTAAATCCCTCACTGGGTTGCCCAGGGTGGGCCCCAACTTGCAGTCCTCTCGCCTGCATGCCCCAGGTGTCTCCGTGCACCTGGGGTTACAGGTGTGCACTGTCCCTCCCGGCCAAAGGCAGGGATTTTTGTGTCTTTTTTTGCTCCTGGACCCGTGGTACCTGACAAGGGTTTGTTGAGTGAATGCCTGAGCAGTTCAGCAGCCGCCGAGCCCGCTGGAGACTGCTGTGCATGGTGCAGTGCTGGGGAAGGCAGAGGCTGCAGCTGGTTGACGATCGTGTAGTCCTGGGCCGCGCGCAGCTGGAGCGCAGTGCTGGCTGTGCTTGCCCAAGGTGCTGAGTTCAGTCCTCAGTGTTACCAGAAAAAAAAAAAAATCAAGCCGTTCTTTCATGTGGGTGTAAGCTAGGGGGAGGAGGGGTCACCGCCTCCGTCCCGCTCGCTCAGGTACCCCGGAAGGCAGCAGCGGAGAAGCCAGGCCGGGCAGCAGAGCGGGAGGCCCGGGCCCTGCTGGAGAAGAGCCGGTCGTACAGGCTGCTGGAGGACAGCGAGGACAGCAGCGAGGAGACGGCGGCGAGGGCTGGGAGCAGCCTGCGCAAGAAGCGGAGGAAGCGCAAGCACCTCAGGAGGAAGCGCCAGGAGGACGAGGACGAGGACCAGGACGAGGAGGAGGCTTCTGAGGGCCGGAGGAAGACAGCGTGAGTCGAGCGGGGGCCAGGGCTGAGGGTGAGGGGCCGCGGGCCTGGGCCGGCCTGTGACGTCGTGGCGGGGCGCAGGGCGAGCAGGCAGCCGGCCGAGAAGACGCCCGAGTCGGAGGACGAGTGGGAGCGGACGGAGCGGGAGCGGCTCCAGGACCTGGAGGAGCGGGACGCCTTCGCCGAGCGGGTCCGGCAGCGGGACAAGGACAGGACGCGCAATGTCCTGGAGCGCTCGGATAAGAAGGTGCGGGCGGGGGCCGGGGCCTGCCTCTCGGGCCTGCCTCTCCCTCTGGAGGAGGAGCTCTGCGTTTTGGGCCGAGGTGACGCGCTGCCCTCACCCAGAGGGGACGTTTCCTCGTGCCCCTTCGGAGGAACGGGGAGGGGTCCTCGTAACCACAGGGCCGCGGCCTTCAGCCCTCCTCTCCTCTCCCAGGCTTATGAGGAGGCGCAGAAGCGTCTCAAGATGGCGGAAGAAGACCGGAAAGCCATGGTGAGTCCCGGGCCAGGGAGCCGAGGGCAGACCGCCAGGACAGACCCGGTGCTGCGCGGAGGAGCTTGGGGCCAGGGGCGCGCGGGCACGCTGAGGTGCTGGGCGGGCCCGGGTTTCCGGAGCGGGTGGCTGGGAGCTGAGGTGGCTGAGGCTGGACCTGGGACATGGAGGGAGGGGTCCCACCACAGACTTAATTCTTGTGGGCCAAATCACGCTGAGGATGAGGCAGTGCAGCGCCAGCTTCCCTGGCCCCGAGACCTAGCAGGCAGGGTGTTGTCGGGGTAGCTGGAGGGCAGGGGCAGGGCTGTCCACTGCCCAGGAAGGTGCTGACCATCTGGCTTCGCCACGCCATCTCCAGACACCCTCTTCGCTCAGTCTCCCTTCCGGCTGGACAGGGACAGGGCCCCCATAATTCGTGGACTGGGCTGTCATGGCATGCGGCTGGGGCAGACGGTTTCCCAGAGGCCTGGTCACAAGCAGAGCCGCACTTTGACTTTCTGAGGACACTCTTGAGGCTCTAAGCATGGCCCAGTGGGCCTCAGGTCTCTCCTGATCGGTGTGCTTCCTGACCCTCCCCACAAGGGACTGCAGGGGTCTGCTGAGGCGTCCCGCAGGATGTTTACGATGCTTTCATTTGCCTGAGCGCAGTCAGAGCTCACACAGTGGTGTTTGAGTTTGTTTTGTGTGTTCTCCCTCTCGTCTTTTTTTTTTTTTGTCTTTTAGAGACAGGGTCTCCTTATGCAGTTCAGGCTGGCCTTGAGCTCACTTTGTAGCCCAGGCTGGTCTCGAACTCCCAACAATCCTCCTGCCTTAGCCTCCCGAGTGCTGGCATTACAGGCGTGCGCCACCACACCCGGCCTTCCTCTCATCTTGTACAGTGTCCTACATTCTGGACCTGCCTGACCCTTATCGTGTGGTACTAAGTTCTTCTAATCTCTGTGTTTGCTTTAAAGTAGAAACTGGGTCTAACTTTTTTTCTGGGCTCAGATTAAACCTTTGTGGCAGGATCACCTCTTGGGCAGTGATGGCACCTTACCTGGTGGCACAGCGGGGGATAGAGCACATGTTGTGCACATGTTGCACATGTTGGAATAGCGCCCTGTCTACACTTTCAGCTAAAGGCGCTAGCAATCATTGCTAACCCTGTCAATCGTGTGTCTGTGTGTATGGTACTGGGGGTTAAACTGAGGCCCTTCAGATTGAGCTACATCCCCAGCCACCTCTCTTTGTTTTTTGGCATAGGGTCTCACTAAATTGCCCAGGCTACGTTTGAACTTGCAGTCCCCCCTCAGCCTCCCGGAGTGCTGAGAGTACAGCCATGCGTCACTAGCTATTGCCCGTATTTTTAAAAGAAAATCACTCCCTGGGCACGGCAGTGCACACCTGTCATCCCAGCGCTTGGGAGGCTCAGGCAGGAAGATCACAAGTTCAAGGCCAACCTGGGCCACCTAGTGACTTAGTCAGACCCCCTCCCAGGATTAGAGAGGGCCGGGGGTGTGGGTTAGTGGGAAGCCCGTGGGTTCCATCCCAGGCACCAACCACAAAAACACAGCAGCCTTTCTTTGCCTTTTTTTTTCCGGTACCGGGAATCAGACTCAGGACGTTGCGCTTGCCAGGCAGGCGCTTGTGCCACTGAGCTAGATCCCCGGACCCCAGAGTAGCCTTTCTATTTTCTCCCTTCCTGCTAACTTGAAAAAAATAGGAAGAGCAAAGTATTCAAATAATCGCCCTCGGGATCGGCCGTGAGGCGCGTCCAGCCCTGTTCTCGGGGAGAGGGCGGTGCGTGGCCCGGTGGGGGCGCCGGGCCGTGGGGCACATCGCTCTCCTCCTTCCCGCCCGTGGAGGGAGCGCACTGCGGAGGCAGCGCAGGGTGCTGCTTCCCTGCGGAGGCCAGGGTCTGAGCATCCTCCCTGGCCCAGGTCCCCGAGCTGCGGAAGAAGTCTCGCCGTGAGTACCTGGCGAAGCGGGAGCGTGAGAAGCTGGAGGACCTGGAGGCCGAGCTGGCGGACGAGGAGTTCCTCTTCGGTGACGTGGAGCTGAGCCGCCACGAGCGCCGCGAGCTCAGGTACAAGCGGCGGGTGCGAGACCTGGCCCGGGAGTACCGCGCAGCCGGGGAGCAGGAGAAGCTGGAGGCCACCAACCGGTACCACATGCCCAAGGAGACGCGCGGACAGGTGAGGGTCGGCCCCGCGGGCCGGCCCGTCTTTCCCGCCCCGGCCGTGGGTGGCGGGTGGTGGTGATGAGGGGGGCTGCCCTTCCCTGAGCTCACGCCCTCTCTCCGCAGCCAGCCCGCACTGTGGACCTGGTGGAGGAGGAGTCTGGTGCCCCCGGCGAGGAGCAGCGCCGCTGGGAGGAGGCACGCCTGGGCGCAGCAGCTCTGAAGTTCGGGGCCCGCGACGCGGCCTCGCAGGAGCCGCAGTACCAGCTGGTGCTGGAGGAGGAGGAGACCATCGAGTTCGTGCGCGCCACCCAGCTCCAGGGCGACGAGGTGAGCGGGCGCGCCCACCCCGGGACGCGCAGGGACGCGAGCAGGCTCCGGCGGGCCCGGCCTCACAGGCCCTCTTCGCAGGAGCCGGCAGCCCCGGCCGCCTCGGCGCAGGCGCAGCAGAAGGAGTGCATCCAGGCCGTGCGCCGCAGCCTCCCCGTGTTCCCCTTCCGGGAGGAACTGCTGGCCGCCGTGGCGAATCACCAGGTCCTCATCATCGAGGGCGAGACCGGCTCGGGGAAGACCACGCAGATCCCGCAGTACCTCTTCGAGGAGGTATGGTCGGCACGGCCGCACCCGTCCTGCCCGGGCCCCGGACGAGCTGTTCCGTTGTCCTCCGCCTGCCCCTGCATCTCGAGGTTCTTCACAATAAGGACCACACTCCTTTCCCGGTCTGTCCTCCCCTCCTGCACGGTGCGCCTGCCTGGCAGGCCTCACTGCCTTCAGGCCGAGGGATGCGCAGACAGCGGGGTGCGTGCGTAGGCGGCTTCCTCCCTGCCTCCCGTACGGGCCCGAGAACCGGCAGCACAGGCCTCCTCTCCTGTCCTCTGCCCTTCTCTCCCTCCCGTTGCTTCGGGGTCTGCTCTCCTGCTCTGCGCGGCCTGCTCACGTCTAGCAGTGCCTGTCCTCCTCCGCGGGCCGTGCTCCTCGGGCTGCCGCTCCTCTTCCGGTTTGGGGGCCAGTCTGTTCCCGCCTCTCCCTCTCCGCCCGGCTTGCACAGCTTGTCTCTGAGTTGTGGCTGGGCGCCGAGGGGTAGGTATAGCAAGGAAGCCCTTTCTCTCCCCTTTGTCGCTCAGGGTTACACCCAGAAGGGTATGAAGATCGCCTGCACCCAGCCCCGCAGGGTGGCCGCCATGAGTGTGGCTGCGCGCGTAGCTCGGGAGATGGGTGTGAAGCTGGGGAATGAGGTTTGTTCTGGGGACTCAGGTGAGGGAGCCCCTCGCTGCCGGGACCCTGTCCACGCCCCACAGGGCTTGGCTTCCCGCCCCGTGCCTGGGTCCCTTCGGAGGACAGCACGTTCATGGGCCTGTGGCCCCCTTGACCAGGTCGGCTACAGCATCCGCTTCGAGGACTGCACGTCGGAGCGGACGGTCCTGCGCTACATGACGGACGGCATGCTGCTCCGCGAGTTCCTCTCCGAGCCCGACCTCGCCAGTTACAGGTGCGCGGCCCGCCCGCCTCGGGAGAGCCCTGGCTCTCGCTCGCGCGGCTCTGCGCTGTCCGCCATCCTTTACCCCCGACACGCACCAGTCTGGCTGTTGTCTTCAGTTTTTCAGTCTCTGTCATTCAAATGGTCCTAGAAGTGACTTCTGGTCCCTGAGCTGGGGCAGAGAAAGCCTCCTGCCCTTGCTCCCTCCATCCCTGGTCATTTCCAGGGTTCAGAGAGCCGGGGTGGCAGAGTGAGTGGGGTTCGGGGCCCTGCGTGCCACAGCAGAGCGCATGAGGGTACTTAGGGGGCCCGGGGCTTGGCGCAGAGGGAGAGTCCGAGGTGCAGCCAGGTTCCCTGGAAATGCACGAAGGCTGCGTCCCACTGGGAGAGGGTGGCAGCCCTGCTTTGCGTTCCCAGAGAGCACCCCTGGGAGGCCCACGGGGACCATGGGCTCAAGGCCAGGATCTTCGTGATGGGCTGGCGGGTTGGGAGGTGCCTGCAGGCGGCTGGCGGGCCCAGGACCCGGTTCTTGGTCCTCAGCCAGGCCTCACAGGCTCCGTCTGTGGCCAGCGAGCTCTCAGCGCTGGCACTGCCCAAGCCCGGAGAAGGGATTCAGGGATGGGGTGCAGGGGAATAGGGTGTGTGTGCCCTTTTTCCCCCAGTACCAGGAATTGAAGCCAGGCCTTTACACAGAGCTACATCCCCAGACACTTCTTCACCTGTTGAGATAAGGGCTTGTTAAATTGCCCAGATGGGCTTGGATTTGGCTGCCTGCCTGCCTCAGCCTCCCAGGTACTGGGATTACAGGCTTGTGCCACCGTGTCCAGCGAGTAGGACATCCCGTTTCAGCTGTTCAGAGGCTGTGACTTTCTCGTCCTGGCAGGTCACAGTGGACTCTTGGGACACATAGGACTTGACCCTCCAGTCTCTCGCACGAGTCTCTGAGAGCCGAGTGGGCCGGGCGGTCTCGTGCCTGTGGGGTGGGTTTCCGGGCTCTGTGTGTCCCCTGGGGACTTGGGTGCGTCCAGTCCAGTGCACAGAGCTGGGGTGGGATGAACGCCTGTGGGTCTGGCTGCCACCCTGACACCAAGGAACGGAGCCAGGACTGGAAGGGGCTGTGGGAGCCGGGAGCCGGCCGCGTCTGGGTGGTGCTGCTGCAGGCAGGTGCTAGACTGATCGAGACATCGACCTGTCCCTGCCCTGGGCTCCAGCCTCTGTGTCTTCTACTCTGTCGGGGCCAGGCAGGCACAGACCCTGACTCCAGGGGTTTGCTTGGGTCTTAGCCTCAGGGCACTCGGCGTCTCCATCCTGCAATCCCCTGGGGCCTGGTCTAGCCCCAGTGCCCGACCCTGACCGCCACCCACCCTTCCCCAGTGTCGTGATGGTGGACGAGGCACACGAGCGGACCCTGCACACAGACGTTCTCTTCGGGTTAATCAAGGACGTTGCTCGCTTCCGGCCCGAGCTCAAGGTCCTGGTCGCGTCAGCCACACTGGACACTGCCCGATTCTCCACCTTCTTTGATGACGCCCCGGTCTTCCGAATCCCCGGCCGCAGGTTTCCCGTGGACATCTTCTATACCAAGGTGTCCTCTCGGGAGAGATGGCTCAGTCTGCCTCCGAGAGAGCAGGGCTTTAGTTCTGACCCAGGAGAGGGACTGGGACGGGAAGTGCCAGGGTGGTGGCAGGGTGCTGGCAGGGGTCCTGTCGAGCTGTGAGAAGTGTCCCGGGCCGGTGGCCCTCGTTACCCTGTCTCTTGCCTCCCCAGGCGCCCGAGGCTGACTACCTGGAGGCCTGTGTGGTGTCCGTGCTGCAGATCCACGTGACTCAGCCCCCCGGGGACATCCTGGTGTTCCTGACAGGACAGGTGCGTGGTGTGCGGGAAAGGGGCAACGGGTCCCCGGCGGACGGTGCCTGCCTCTGGCCTCCGTGACCCTGGGTCTCTGCTGTGTCCTCCCTCAAACCAGGAAGAGATTGAGGCCGCCTGTGAGATGCTCCAGGACCGCTGCCGCCGCCTGGGCTCCAAGATCCGTGAGCTCCTGGTGCTGCCCATCTATGCCAACCTTCCGTCGGACATGCAGGCCCGCATCTTCCAGCCCACACCGCCCGGGGCCCGCAAGGTCAGTAGAGAGACTGCACTGCTCGCCCTCAGTTCCCGGCAGGTGGCGACGCAGACGGCAGGAGCCTGCCCTGAGCGAGGCGAGAGCTGGCACGGCCATTGGGGAGGAGCAGCCAGGCCCCGGTGGGGGCTGCAGAGGACGCCTTGGAGGTGACCCGGGCAACACCTGAGTGTGTGGCTGGGGGACCAGCACCGTAGAGGAGCAGAGATGGCGGGGAGCCCCCGGGGGATTCAGCA